TTTTCTTCTAAAAATGGTTAACAGTAGGATGTGGCCCTTGAAAAAGCCCTGTTGGAGACAAGATGGCGGCCACAGCCTCGGGAGTGTTGCCCAGCCTGACAGTCCAGCGAGCCTTTGATGGGGTAATTGATAGCTCATACACAATTCAGCAACTCAATTAACTTCTCTCCCATTAGGAAGGATTGATTTCTTCCTCAGGATGGGGATTTGTGCTGATTCAGCGGCAGCAGCCTTCCTACTGCCCAACACATCTGCATGGTTAAAAAAGAACTCTTCTCGCTGGTCATGCTGCTGCTCAGAGGCCCCAGTGCAAAATGGCATGGCTGGGGGCCCAGTGTTCAGTTCTGTATATGGCAAGCCCCCTACCCCTAGAAAGATGAAGGCCCATCATCATTTAGAAAATGAATTCCGTTCTCCTATACCTTTTGTCTGAAGATGTTGGTGTATATATAGGATAGGAAATTGCAGCCCAGTACGGCAAGTCTGTGATTGGCTAATGTTTCACTGTTACCTTTAAAACTTTTTAATGTCAGCTTTATTGAAAAGTAACATAGTCAAATGCATTTATTCAAGGTATGCAATTGGATTAATTTTGCCAGTTGTATACACCTTTGAAATCATTCCCACAATCAAGATACAAAACAGCTTCATCATCCCAAAAGATTCTTAGTGCCCTTTGCAGTCTATCCCTCCCTGTACCCCAGCTCCCCACGATAACTGATAGGCTTTTCACAATTATGCAGTAGTTTGCATTTTATATAAATGATACAATAAATATTGTATTATTTTGCCAAGGGCTTCTTTCACTTAGCATTGTTGTGTTTTGTTTGGGTGGTAAATTTGTATAACATGATATTTACCATTTTAACCATTTTTAGGCAGCATTAAGTAAGTACGTTCACGATGTTACACAATCATCACCACTATCCATCTCTGGAACTTTTCTCATTGTCCAAAACTGAAGCTTTATACCCATTAACTACTAACTTTCCATTTCTTCCCTCCTCCCAGCCCCTGGCAACCACCATCCTACTTTCTGTCTCTGTGAATTTGATTACTCTGTGTTTCATATACCAGACTCTTGTATGGTATTCAATAATACCATACCATACCATTCAATAATACCATACAAGGTTGGACAATTAAGAACTCATCATAGAAAAAGTGTGACCTATCTCACTGCTAAATATAACTACAGTCCCCTTTAAAGTACTCCCATTAGGAAGCTATGCACCAACACCAGTGCTAGTCCTTTCAGGCTGATGTAATTGCTCAGAGCATTGCCTGGCTATAATAACTTCAAATGAAATTGCAGTTCCCACTCCCACTTTACTCCAGCTATTTCCCTCTGTGTTGCCTGTTTCTCATTAGCTATAGTTGTTATACAACTTGCTGATATCCTATTAACTATGTCATGATACAACCACCTACATCCTATTTACTCCTCTTCTTATGCCACTTCCATCAGTCCTCTTAATTGATCTGTTATGCTATATATTCTACTTCTCTGCTATATCTGTCAAAAAATGTCCTATTAACTATATTACCCGATCTCCTACAAGTGTTGTCTGACTTGACAGCAACCTGTTCATAATATCTTCATTGCTGCCTACCTGTGACCTGACAAAAACTGATTACTAACTTAGATCTTGTTAGGTCCAGGTATAAAAAGTCCACCGGGAAGTCACACATACCACTGACTCTTGGAGCAGAGGCTTGACTATGTAGAGTATGTAAAGACTTCAGCCCCCAAGTGCCTTCTTAAGAAGGATCTTTTCCTTTGACCACCAGGCTGTATGAGCCTCACTGATGGAGAGACAGAGACAGAGACATGCTGTGTGTGTGTATTGGGGGGTGGCTGGTAGCGAGAGTGGGGAGGTGTAAAAGGAGCAGAGATTGGGAGGCTGGGTGAGAAGGGGGAGCCTGGAAGGAGGAGATTGAGTTGGGAGAGGCTGGGGGAAAGGAGGACTGTAGGAGAGGTCAGAGTTCATTTGTCAGGACAGACCCTTATTGACACCATCTTTTTGTTAATGACTGGCAAGCCTGCATGACTGTGTGCCATCACAGCCCCCAGAGTGTTGCCAGAATGACAACCCATCTGATTGGCTTTTCAGATTTACAATTCTGTCCTTATCTGAGCTCCGATGAAGACGGGGCTCTGCCCCAGGTCCACCTTTGTCCCCTGGGGGCGCACTAGTGCTTGCTTTAGCGGCTATCCCACTGTCAAAGACCTTGTGCTGACAAGCCACAAACAAGAGGGTAATGTCAGCATCTAGCGCAGGGCTAGGCAGATAGCAAGTGCTCACTAAATGTTGGTTGAGCAGTGCTGAAATGTGACTTGTAGAACCTGTCTGTCCTTGTCATCACAAATCTTTCTCCTGAGATTGGGAAGGAATAGGAGTTCTTAATGGCTATCTGTGCACACTGGGACTACCATCATAGGGGAATATGTGTCCAATGAGCTGTGTGTATATAATAGAGTTCTCAGTTGACCCTATATTAATCTTTTGAATTTCTAAAATACTTTCTAAAAACATTACCAAATCTGTGATCTTATTTTATTCACATACTTGTTTTAAAAAATATTCAGGGCTCCTGCCATCTAATGGGAAAACTGAGACCTTAATAAGTTCTGATAGTACAGTTAAGATTACAAGTCTCCTAAGTAATCTACCTGCCTCTCTGGATGGCGTCATAGACAGTAAGAACAGGGAAAATTTTCAAGGCCTTATATGGCCACACTAAACATGTATATGTACCTCACCTGTGGAGAGTATTGGGGACATTTCCCTTTATATAGCTCTGTTGCTGGGAAGAAGTTTTCATGGCATCTCCCTTGATAGCTGTGGTGCCAAGCACAGCTGTGCAATGTCCCAGGTCTAGTTTTGTATAAACAAAACATCCCCATTTGCCCACCTCTGCAGACAGCCTCTGGGATCCATGTTTACCAGACACCACTGATGCCTCATCTCAAACATAGCTGAAGTCTTAAAGTGCTTCTTACAACTGAAACTCCCTTCCCTCATCCTGTTCCTGATCCCACTGAGGAGCAGCTGTTGACCTGCTCTGGCATTTCTGTCTGAGCCATAGTGGTGAGAGATCTGAGGACCTCCAGGCAGGATGGGTCTATCTTGAAGCTTAGGGAAACACCTAGCTCTACTGGGCCAAATAGTACTCCCTCCAAAATTCACGTGTACCTTGAAACTCAGAATGTGACTTCCTTTGGAAATAGTCTTTGCAGATGTAAAGATATTACAATCTTGAGAGGAAATCATTCTGGATTTAAGATGGGTTCTAAACCCAGTAACTGGTGTCCTTATAAGAAGAGGATAGGACACAGAGAAACACAAGGAAGAAGACAGTATGAACATGGAGGCAGTGATTGGAGTGATGCTGCCACAAGCCAAGGGATGCCAGGTGCTACAAGCAGTCGAAAGAGGCAAAAAAGCATTCTCCCCTATAGGCTTCAGAGGGAGAGTGATCTAGCTGACACCTTGATTTTGGACTTCTGGACTCCAGAACTGTGACTGAACACATTTTTCTTGTTTTAAACTATTATGTTGAGTAATTCATTATGGTAACCACAGGAAACAAACATTGGCTGACTAGCAGGCAGAGGTTGAGTGTGGGGTTGACCCTGGGACTAGACTCCCAGGGTCCTCTGCTGCCATCCCCTCTCTTGCCTGCAGGGCTTGAGAGAATGCTGTGGCAAGCCAGTCTAACGGGCAAGGACCAAGGCTTGACTTCCCTGTGGTCACTCTAATCTTGGTGGAAAAAGATCTCCAGGCCCTCTCTCTACCATTGTTGTTACCTCGCTTTAGTGCCTATCATACATAAGTCTTTACATCATTTTACTCAGTCCTTGTAAGGACACTATTAAGTTGTTGAATCCATAGTTTTACATTAAATCTCATTAACTAGTTCAAAGTTACACAGTTAGCAAGTGGCAGAGCTGGGATTTGAACTTGTGCCTCATCCTACTTAAAAGTCTGCACACTTAACCAGTCCACTACAATAACTTACCCACACCATGTGATAAAAGTCGCAGCCAGTGCTCAACACAGCAAGAAGATAACCCACAGTCCCATCTCTGCTCCTACCCCTGGCTGCTTACCCTCTTCCTATGTGGCAGCCACATCACATGATCCCTGTTCCTTGGATGGCCTACAATGGTCCCACTTCAGGTGGTCTCTCTGGTAGCTTGTCCCTGCCCCTTTCAATCTGATAAACTCCTAGCCCACATGGCTCAGCTTAAGTATATTCTGTACATTCCACTATCTAGCATTGACTTTGGGGACCATAAATCTTACTGGTATGTGTGTTTCCAAGCTGAGGTGGGAGCACCTGTGACAGAGGACTGGGTCTTTCTGTTTTGATATTGTATCTTCCCCAGTATTTCTGGTTCTCCAAAGTCCCCAGTAAATGTTTAAGTGAAGCATGCAGAAGACATGAAGATCATTAAGTAACAAATGCTCCACAGAAAGGCCTGCTAATTTTAACAAAGAAGAAAAGAACATCAGATATTCTAAGACAAGTATTTGTAGAAGGAATCACTAAAAGCTTTGCGTTCTGAAAGCAAATATTTAATTTAGGCTCCCCCTTCTGTGTGCTTACAAATGGCACTCAATTCAATATAATGCTTAATCTACATTTTGAGATTTACTCTGGGACTTGTGGACTTTATTTTCCTTTTTGTGATTATTAATTGCTTTAGTCCTCTAAGCATGTATTCTTTAAAAGCTCACCTTATTTCTAAGCAAGAATTGCATTTACAATGGTGTATCCTCATTTTATGCTGACCTGGATGGGAATGTAGGAGTCAACGTGCTAGAGATCCAGTTACAGCAGAATTTCTAGGCAGCATATGTCTTAATTGTGTAAACCAAGACCTGTTTTCTTTCTCAGGTTGCTTTTTCCAAAAGAGGACAGTTTGCTCATGTTGGATGTCCTGCCCCTGATAGTCTTCTAATGGTTCTTCCATCTCTGTCCTTGTCCTACAGGCTGGCCGTGGGTGACCCTCTCTGTCCTGGGGTTCCTGTACTGCTACTCCCATGTGGGCATTGCCTGGGCCCAGACTTACACCACTGACTAATGCTATCGGGCCCAGCCCTTGTAGCTAGCCTCCAAGGCAAATGGTGCTTCACCTTGACCTCCCACTCCGAGAGAGTCTCCGAGGGACCAGTGCTTGATCTGCAAATCTTCTGTTGAAGTTACCTGACTCCAATGCTGGAAGTTTGAGCTCTCATAGAAAATTTATAACCAGATAATCTTCTGACTTTGGAGTCCATTTTCCTGTTGAGTAAATTGGGGTCCAAGGTAGTAGACTGCCTTTCCCAGCTAAACATGGTGACATTTTGGTTTAGGACCTAGTCCCTTGGGACCCTTGGGTTTTTTCCTCCTTTACCAGGAGTAAAATATAATCAACATCCCTTGGTTGAGGCACAGAAATCCTGACTAGTGACAGGCCTGTCTACTACTGGGAAGTATTTCTGAAATACTTTGGTAACATTTATTTAAGAGAACCCCTTCTTCATGTCCTACAGTGTGGTCTCTAGAATCGGCACAAGGCTCTGACCTTCGTACTTAAGTTCCTCTGCAAGATGGAGACAACCCTCTGTTGTGCTTCTGATTGCCTAGTAAGAGAAGTCAGAAGCAGTCCCGTGGCATTCAGAGGAGTCTATGCCCAGGGAGTCCTGTGATTTGAACATCATCACATGTGATCTACATGTGGCTGCTTATTCCTGAGGTCTGCATTGAAGATGGTAGTTCCTCTACCTGAAAGTTAGTTGTTTTACAATAAAGAAGTAAAATTTTAAAAACTGCAGAATAATGTATCCAGAGAAAGGTGCTATGAAGTGAGTCACAAAGATAAGGATTTCTGGGGTCTTATCTACCCTTTCCACATAAGTCCTAAAGTTGTCATCCTTCTCAGTGATTTATGCTCTGTGGTCTATATTGTTTTATTTGGATTCAAATGCAGCCTTTCCTGCATATAGATAATTTACATTTTTGTAGAATTATTTTGAATATTTTTTGAGGAAATGTACCTATTTGATTTGATTATTCTCTCTTCTAGAGAGATGATGGATAGCCTACCAATGACCCCAAGAGGTAGATAATTCATAATACTTCCATTTGGCTTTGGATTTTTGGCGGGGAGAAGAGAGTGAAGAAGCTTCAAAATTTGAATCTATAGTATATCCAGTTATAGGAGAACTTATAACATCTCAAGAACGTGAATTAAATTCTTATGAGATTCTAAAACTCTTGTGAGTGAAAAGTTCACTTTGGACCTTGAGCTCTCTCATGTTCATTATATGGTATGGCCCTTGTGCTTTGGCTGAGGTTATCAACTCAGTGAGATTTAAACTCCTAGAGTGCAGGACCAATCATTTTGTTGACTTTCTTTTCCTTTCTAGCCACTTTATTTGGAGGGGGCCAGATGTTAATGACCTAGGATGGACATAGTACATGTTAACTGAAAAGGGCAGGGAAGGCAGCTAGGCCTGGGCAGCGGCAACCTCAGCAGCTGGCTTGATAAAGGAGAGAGAAACTTGGTGGAGGCAAGGCCAGGGTGCTGAGGAATTTTAAAGAAGGAATGAGACTGAGGGAGGAGTCAGTGCCCTCATGAAAATAGTAAAAAACTTCACGGACTAACACAATTTGTGGCCAGCCAGAGGGAGTGTGGATGAAGTTTACTTGGAAGGAAAGAGCTTGCTAAGAAAGAAAATTATAATAAAATGGTTGTAGGGAAGTATGTCTAATATATGTATGCATGTAAATAAGATTTTTGAGCTCTTCCAAAGACACCATTTATATAAAAACAAATAGGTTTATTCATTAATTAAACTATATTGGAAGAGTGAGTAGATATAATTGAAAGTAATAATTCAGGATTTCCTTTAACTATTTTTTTTTTCTTTTTGAGACAAAATCTCACTCTGTTGCCCAAGTTAGAGTGCGGTGGTATCATCATGGCTCACTGCAACTTTAAACTCTTGGGCTCAAGCAATCTTCCTGCCTCAGCCTCCCAAATAGCTGGAATGACAATTGCACGCCACCATGCCTGGTTAGTTTTTTATTTATTTGTAAAGAGAGGGATGGAGGGGAGGGGTTGCTGTTGCCCAGGCTGTTCTCAAACTCCTGATCTCAAGTGCTCCTCCTGCTTTAGCCTCCCAAAGTGCTAGGATTACAGGCATGAGTCATCATGCCCAGTCTCTTTTAAACTATTATGTGATTCAGAATGGTTCTCAGGAATGGATAAATGATTACTGTGTTTACCTCTATATTTGAGGTCTAATTAACCAATATGTGGATTATCTAGGACCATTGTTTTTTTAACCTATTACTATTCCTCAGCTCTAATATGACAGTGATAATTCTTCTCTCTTCATACATATGAACTAAAATCTTGGAGTTGCTCTAAATGAGACATCTGGGTACACAGAGCAGTTCAGCTAAGGACACATTATCAGCTCTGGGCAACTTCAGGCAGGGTGTTGGGAAAAGACTAAACAAGGACCCAAGGTTACTTTTAGCTCCAGGATTCTCTGATCCCAACTAGCTCTGTGGGCAAGACCAAAAGCTCCAAGCACGATTGCCAAAATGATAACCAAGGAGAGAAGCAGGGCATCTAAAGGACACCTAAGCCTCAGTAATTTTGACTAACTGTTGAGATCACACAAGAAGAGTTAAAAGTATTATTTTTTCAGATTAATTTGAAGTGACAGCAGAAAACATTTTGTTCCATTAAAGAGAAAAAATCAATTATAAATATATAATGATTTACATATCCAAAGAATAGCAATTGGGGGTAGTTTCCCTTAGAGAAATTGACTCTTCCCTTTGCTTCATAAAACTATTGACTAAATATGAGAAATTAATCATAATAAATTAGTTTTATAGCAGATGTGCCAGAATATATCTGTATAATAGTATTCCCTTTGTGTGGCCAACATGAGAAGCCAAACTGTCTAGAGTACAGGCCTTCTCAGTGCCTTGTGCAAAGCCTCTCTTGAGGCCTCTCCTCAGTAAAAGTGTTTTATTTTAAAATAAACAAAAATCCCTCTTTTTAAAATAGTTCAACTCCAGTTAGCATCCAAAACATAGTTAATTTATTCTGTATTTTTCTAGCCCTTTTGACTAATTACAAAAATCATTTCACAGATTATTATGTTTAGTAAGTGCTTTACTGGATGACAGTTTGGAAAGCAACATCAACCATTTGGAATTTTAAACAATATAACCCTTAAATTATTTTTATTATGCTTTCTTACTATGTAATTAGAAACAGGGGTGGGGGGAACATTATTAAAAACACTATGTTCATACTGTGACTCTATGAGATCAAGCAGAGGCTTGTAGAACACAGATTCCTCATCCCCAGATTAAGTTACACTATAGAAAGAGAAGAGCCTTATTTGAAATGTAGTCCACGAAATGAGTAAGAACTCAGGTTGACTCATGAGCAAGAAGCAATACCTATTAACATAACAGCAGAATTGAAACCATGCCATTATATTTAGATTAGTTCTATTTAGATAGGGGCAAGCAGTCCTAAACTTTTGAGACCATCAGTGAAACAAGGCACGTATCAAACCTTACGTTGATACTAAACCATTCAAAAAGATTATGTTCTTCACACTATGTTTTAAAAGGTAGCATTAAAATAAGAATAAGAATCCCTTCCAAACAGAATAGAGAAACCAAAAATCCACATACCTACAGCCAACTGATCTTCGAGAAAGTTGACAAAAACATACACTGAATAAAGGACACCCTATTCAATAAATGGTACTGGGAAAATTAGATAGTCATATTCAGAAAATGAAACTGGATCCCTGTCTCTTACCACATCGACTCAGAATGGATTAAAGACTTAATGTAAGACCTGAAACTATAAAAATGCTAGGAAAAAAAACTAGGAAAAACTTCTAGCCATTTATCTAGGCAAAGGACACATGACTGAGACCTGAAAAGCACCAGCAACAAAAATGAAAATAGACAAATGAGAAACAAAATCTCCTACACAGCAAAAGAGATCATCAACAGAGTGAACAGACAACCTGTAAATTGGGAGAGAATATTTGCAAACTATGGCTCCAGCAAGGGACTAATATCCAGAATCTATAAGGAATTCAACAAAAATGAAAAAAATCCCAATAAAAGATGTGCAAAGGACATGAACATTTTTAAAGAAAAATGACCAAAAAGCAGATGAAAAAAAAGTTCAACATCAGTATCAGAGAAATACAAAGTCAGTCCACAATTCAATGCCATGTTACACTAGTCAGAATGGCTATTAAAAATTAAAAGCGAACATGTTGGCAAAGATGCAGAGAAAATGGAACATTTATATGCTGTTGATGAGTAAAAGAATCCTTGTATGAAAAACAATATAGGGATTTATCAAAGAACTAAAAATAGAATTACCATTTGATCAAGGAATCCCACTACTGGGTATCTATCCAAAGGAAAATATATCAGAAAGATACCTGCACTTACATATTTATTGCAGCACTATTCACAACAGCACAGATATGGAACCAATCTGTGTCCACCAATGAATAACTGGTGAGGTGTATATATGTACAATGGGATACTATTCAGCCACAAAGAATGAAATCGTGTCTTTTGAGGCAACATGGATAGAACTGGAGGCCTCAAGTGGGAGCTAAATAACATGTACGCTTAGACAGTGGATTGATAGACATTGGAGATTTGGGAGGGTGGGGGTGGTGAGGAGTTTGAAATTACCTAGTGGGCACAATGTACACTATTTGGGTGATAGTTATGTGGAAAGCCCACATTTCACTATCCAATACATCCATTTAACAAAATTGCACTGGTACCTCCTAAATTTATAGAAGAATTTCCCTTCTAAGTAGGAGGTCTGCTTCAGATGTTTTAAATCAATGTGTCATATAATGGTCCAGTGATGCCATATTTTGAAGGTACTCTGCACTTGTAATACAGATGGTGTTCTTTTAGATCATATTCCTACACATCATATTCATTTTCTTGATATGTTATACCATGACCCCAATCTTGGTCTCTTAAGAATTTTATGTTCTCAAAAGCCACAACTGCTTTCCACAGTAGAGCATCCTAAACTCTTGAAAAGGAATATAAAATACCATCCTTGTTCTGTCATCTGCGATCAGAACCACCACTTCACTGATTGTAAGGAAAGGCAAAAGCAAGTATCATGTATAAAATAGTTTATTACCATAATAAATAATTTTTTTTACAAATATCATTTGTGCTTGTTTAAAAATGTTGAGAAAGGAATATCATCAATGGAGGAGCCCACACATTCCTCTTAACATTCCCAAGCCACAGACATACAGCGGAGTTCCTGGCAGCATCCTCAGCTGACCACAAAAATAGTATCATCCCATTTGCACTTTTGTTTATTCATGCTCATTTGGACAAAGTGGCAGATGCAAAGGAAAAAAATCCAATAAAGGATTTGGCAGACTCGATGGAAAGTGTTAATAAAAGGAGAAGCCCCGGAATGATGAACTGAGTAGAAGTGTCCTTGTGGTGTCTGTAAAATGTCAGATATGGACTGTCTCCAACTGATGCACAAATACAGCGGCTAAATATTAAGCGAATACATTCATTAAGGGGGGGGGGCGTTGCATCCTTCTTAACATAAATCAGTTCATATCCTGATAAAGATCTGTGGACTTCTCAACTAATGGATCCATGGGATGACTCAGAAGTCACAGAGACACTGGCTCTAAGAAAAGTTTAATAGCAGGGAGGGCACCTGCTGGTCCGGCACCTGCAGGGTATTCAAGTCCAGTTCTAGAGGTTCCAGAATAAGTCTGATATGCTCACATGAGAATGAAGTTTCATTCGAAACTAATTTAAGCTGCAGATAAATTCACATTGATTCTTTTGAATTGTAGGGGGCTGGAAGTTAAAACGTCTCAACTTGAACACACCTTTGGTGAGAGAATGGTGCTTTCTCTGATGTTTGCAGTTAGCGCTGAGAGGACAGTGAAGTCTCCTCCAGGCAGAGGGTACAGGAGCTGGTGAAGGTAACTTTTATTGAAGCAAGTGAGAAGGCAGTATATGGAGCAATATCAATGATTTTGCAACAGAGGTTGTCCAGGGGCAGTGTGCCCTCAGTAAGCCTCCTTAGTTAAGCAACACTAGGTAAGGAGAGGAAGGGGCCCAGACAGCTCCATCACAAGTGGAGTTCCATTCAAGGGTCTTAAGGCTAAACATCTTTATTGCAAAACACTATACACTCTTATTAATGAAATGCACATCAGCAACTAATAAATATCCCCACCAAGGCTCCTGAAACTTCCCAGAGTGTACATGTCATGTAATGTTAGTGCAACAGGGGAAATAAGATCTTCCTTCATCTAGTACTCTAAAGAGTTTGTAAAGTCCTCCCATAGGCATGGAAAAAAAAGTTGACAGTCGGCTTAATACTTTCACTCTCTACCTAAGGATTTAGAGAAGCAGCATGCTGTAGTTGGGGGGGGGGGGTGCATTTTCACCCCTTGCCCAGCTGTCTGCCCTTTTGAAAGAGGACAGGGGATGATATCTGGACAACAGCAGGACATAGGCTTTAAGAGGTTAGGGGTATGATAGGCCCCAAGATTGAATAACAAGAACTCAAAGCAAGAAATGAATTTATAAGTTTGCTAGAAGGCTGCTGAAATGGGCACTACTTTTTAAACACTTGGGCCGTGTCTTAACAATGTTGTATCCTTTAGCGTAACGTTATGTGCTAGACGGAGCTTTTCAATTGAATGGCTGTCTCCCTCTCCTTCCTTTGGTTATTGTATAATGCCCAGTGGAGGAGCCCTTTGTGGGCATCTGAGATAGCAACACCCATTGCTGGAGTGCACCCTTCACCAAGAACACTGCCTCTCACTGACAATCTCATTTATTAGGGTCAACTCTTAGCCCCACACCTCCATCAGCAGAAGTGAGTTTGTTCAATAAGCAGCCGAGTGACAGGGGTAGGACTTCCCTACTTCAAAGCAGCCTGTCAGGATGTTCGCTGGGAAACGGAGCTTCCCTGCGAATGACATTCAAAGTAAAGAGTTTAGTAAAGATCAAGTAACCAGCACTTAATGGACAATGACATGACACATCATGCCCTGTCCCCTCAAAAAGGAGGAAATATCTCAGGTAAATCTCTCAGCATAATTTTTCTAAAGTCTAAATGTTCTGTCTGATACCTAGTTACTATCTTGTGTTCCCCTAACCTCTCTTTAGCTACCACATGGTGATTTATTCTAGGAGGTTCAGGTCAGTAGGATCTGAAGCCTCTGGCCTTTGCGTGGGAACCCAGAGTAGTGCCCTGGCAAGGCTAGGGAGTCAGCACAAAGCAGCCTGCAGCCCAGCACATGTCACAAAAAAGAAAGCAGAAAGGTTTGGCTCATTTAAAATTTTCTTTCAGGAAAACAATTATAGCAAAAAAATCCCTAAAATCCTTAAATGGAAAAGAACAAAAGCATATAAAGCCTCACTCCTGGTGCTCACCATGGTGGGTCCCACCACCCTGAGATGAACAGATTCCCATCCCAGGATCTGGGCTTCCAGGCATTAGCCCAATTTGTATTGATCCAGGAGAACATTCCTGAAGTTTTATTTCTCCCAAATCATGTCTGGACTTCAAAGCCTCAGCAGCATCTTCACCCTGCAATGCAGAGTCTCTCATGATGGCCAGTGGGATGCTACACAGGAGCCTGTCATCAAGTCCCTGGGAGGTGGTCGGCAACAAACTGTCCTCCAGGGTGAGTGGTGCTGCAGCTGGAGGCTGGGTGATTAGGGGCCCTGCCTGCCTTAAAAGTAGCGTGGGTCCTAAACTTTAGAAGCAGGTTCAGGAGCACATTTAAGGAAGGGCAAACTTGGACATGAGAGGGTCGCTGCAGATAGGACTGCAGTTATTTCACAGCCTCTGCCCCAAGGACTAGATGGCAGCTTCACACATTAAAGAGGCTGAAGGCCCCATAACTTTATCCAGAGTCACTGTTCTCTTTTTATACTAGCATCTGAGGTTAATCCTAACTATGTCACAGCCTGGGGAATCTCTGTCAGCCCCCCATGAGAAACTACATATGTGAGGTGGGACTCTGCCCTTGGCTTCCCAGACCCTTTTCCCTAGGGCTGTCTATGCCAACCCTGTGAGCCAGGAGAGGGCAGCTTTTCCCTACCCAGATAACTGAGGGCCAAGTCCTGGGACTTGCCATGGCTGCTGAGCAAGACTGAGGCAGGGGGTTGGGGAGGGTGGGACTAAGGGCTTTCAGAATGCTAGAGATCTTTGGTAGGGCAGATGTGCCAGGAATGGGATCACCATGGGACATAGGCCGAGGTCAGTGTGCTTGGAGGAGTCCATCCTCTCACCTGTGCTAATTCAACTCTCTCAAAACTGACTTCTCAGAGCTGAACTTCCAACCTTGTTCAGGGTCCTGAAACCTCTCTCCAAGGATAACTAACTCCATCATCCCTGGAAGAGACTTCACCTCTTCCCTTGCTCAGACACCATTGAGAGAAGTCCAAGCATACAAATAACCTGACCATGGTGACTATGAGACAGTGGTGTGTCCCCTGGCATCATGGTGTAGGGATTCAGATGGCCCATAGGCAGCTCCACGACCACCTCAGAGACAGCTGGAAAATCTGTCTTGTTCTCTTGTTCCAGCTCCTGAAGAAAGTAGAACCATGGTCCTGCCATTTTTTCCCAGTTTCTCTTGACGTCTTAACTTCAGTAGGAGCTAGAAAGGTTAACTTTAAAATAAGGCCAAGCAAGGCTCCCAAGTGCCCTAGAATGACCACGTGCAGTGGACAAAATATAAACCTCCAAAGGGCAATCCCCATGGGAATCAAAATATAAACAGCACTTGCTACAATCATTTTTCTGAGGTCATGTGTGTCTATGTGTCCATTTGTTAATAAAGCAACTCTGGGCCCATGACCCTTCCTGCCGACACTCCATACCCTGAGGAATGCCACGGAGACACTTGGGGAGAGGTCAGGAAGGAAAAGAAGCCAAGGAGCCTGTGTGAGGCAGTGGCGTGGAGGCTCGTCTGGGGCCTCGGGAGCCCTCCCTGCTGACTCTCCCAGCGGAGCAGGCTGCAGACCACAAAAGGGGACCCCTGGATCCCAAGGGTGCCTCTCCAGCTCTGATGTTGCCTCTTTTGGGAAAGGAGATCTGAGGATGCTCAGCTCTGAGTGGCTACAGGAGGCACCCACGGCACCCACAGATGCTTTTTGGCCTTGATCGTTAGAGACAGAAAGTTGACGGGCTCAACGCTCCTGTCCCTCAAGCTCCCCTTGTTCCGAGCTTGTTACAAAGGACTATAGCAAAATATATAGTGACATCAGACATGGGCTGTACAAGGACGGGGGATGCTGGGAAGTCCCTGGCCCACTTCAGTCTTTGAGGGGTCTTGGCGAAGGAGCCCAGCACGGTATATACACAAGGGGTTCTCAGCCACCCTCCACCAATCTCCAAATGGCTGCTGCTGTTCTGGTACAAAAATGCAAGTAAAAAATTAAAAATGAAGGAAAACCCCCTTTAGTCAGCATGTCCCTTCTTCCAAAATTGTGCAAAGATGGTTCAGATGTAGCTGCCATCTTGCAGGGTGGGGGCATGCCTCCTTTCCTGTCTTCTTCCAGATAGAGAGCAAGTGTGCCTAAGCCACTGCCCCCATGGTGATTTTCTGTCAGGAAAAGCCTATTGGGGAACTGTTGGTCTTGTGGGTATGTGTGGTGGGGGTGGTACTGAGGGCAGGGCTGTCAGTTTGTGTCTTTGATTTTTTTCCTCAACAGACCTCTCAGCTTGCTCCAAAAATGTCTCTCTCTGATTCTGGGGACTGGGGCCTCGATATTTCAAATAGCTCCTGAGACTGAGAGGACCTTCTAGAAGTTAATATCCTGAGTATCTCTGAGAGCTGTTTCTCGATACTGGTCATTTTGGCATTCAGGGCTTTGATGTCCTCCTTTAACTCATGCCTCACCTCCAGGACTGTGGCCTGCAGTGTCTGCTCGGGGATGGGGTAGAAAGAATGCTTGACCTCTGCCAGAATGGGGCTGCGGTCCTGGGGACTCCTGGCCTCGCCTACATTATCCAAACGCAAGTCACTCTTGGTGATGCCGCTGTCACATGAGTCTGTCTTCTTCAGTGTGGCCTCACCTGACGCCTTTGTCCTCTCGGGGAGCGTCTCCATGGACTCAGCCTTGGACACCTTGTTCCAGTCCTCGCCCTTCCCGCAAGCATCTTTGAAGCGAGCCCAGCCTTTGCGTTTGGCACAGTCGCCCCCGCCTGCCTTAGGGCCCAGGCACTCGGACCCTGGCGCGTGCAGCTTGGCATGGTCGGGCACCCCCGAGGTGGAGGCTGCCTGGAAGGCCACGGGTGTGGCAGGACTCTCGCGGACAGTGACCACGCTGGCCTTCACGAGGTTGTGGTTGGCTGAGGCATGCTCTGTGAGGACATTGCCCTTCTCCACATCCAGGTCGTCCAGGTCCCGCCCTCCTCTCTCTGCAGCCAGTCTGGCTTCTTTCTGCTGTCGGAACCTCTGGAAGAGTCGCCGGACAGGGTGGTCTGGTGGCAAGATCAGCGGGGCTTCATTCTTCCGTTTCATGCGCTCTTCCTCTTCCCGTTTCACATCGCTGATCTTCCGGAACACAATCTGGAGTGAGAAAGAATGACATTTTGTGTTAGCCACACTCAGCTTCTCTGCCTAGCACAGCTCTCTCAGGCCAGCCGGCTGGCCACCAAGAGGCTGGGACTCACAGCCCACAAGGCCTCACAGCTTTTCTCAGGACTGACTTTCTCATCATTTTTCTTTTCTGGAAATGGGTCCCCTGTTTTCCAACAGCAGGGAATATGGTTCTCCCTGTCATCCTCTTCAAGAGGAACAAAGCCTGTTCTTTCCATCCCCATGTCCAGGAGGCTAGAGACCCGAGACCACACCCTCCCCGCTGCCCATCCTGGCCTCTAATCCTGGATTCCCTTTTGTCTGATTTTGCAATTCAGAATTACCTGGTGAACTTTTCAAAAATCATTTTTCTGACTCCATTTCAGACCTACTCAATTAGAATCTCCAAAGAGGAAGACCCAGACTCTGTAAAGTAAAAAGCTCCTGGGTGATTCTGTTGCATGAAAGTTTGAGCATCCCTGGTCTAAACCACACTTCAGAACAAGAACTTTCCACTGAGTCCCCAGGAAGGACTACAGCAAGGACTGCCATGGCCACCACAGATCTGGACCCTAAGTGAATGTGGCTGGCTGTGAAAAGTAAAAGCTAGTCTTTCACAGAAGCATACTTGTCCTTGAGGAGCTTATGGCAGAATAGAGGCCTGTAAACTCGACGTAAGTGTGTCATGACAATAATACTCAACACTTAGACACGCCACTGGATGTATTCCTGCTATATGGTAAGGTCATTAGGGTACATATTATCCCCATTTTAGAGACAATGAAGCCAAGGCTCAGAGTGGCTACATGTCTTCTAACAGGTAAGTAGCATACATGTATAAGGGACTTAGATCAAGCCATCAAAGCCCAGATCCTTTCAATGGCTAACAGGTAATTACTGATAATACTGCATGCAGAGGACAGACCTCAGAACAGACTTATAAATGGGCTCTAGAGTGCGGCATGAGATTATAGGGCTCTCCCTTGGGCTAGCATCATACCCATCTGGAAAACCTTGTGCCACATGTGAGCAATTTAGACCAACCCAGACCTACACCAAGGACTTGGGGAGGTCTACATGGTGGCATTCAGGGAGCATGGACTTTGGCAAGTTTAAGTCCCAACGGTGCCACCTAACCCTATAACCTCAGACAGATATTAATTTCTGAGTCTCAGCCTAATCCTCAAAAAGCAGGAAAAATCTTGACTTTTTAGACTTGGCTGAAAAGTCACATCAGACAAGGTGACTTATGTGAAAGCACTGACCCAGTATAGGTACTTAAATGAATCCTTCTGTCCTCATCCTGTCCAGGCCCCCAGATGCAGATGATATGAGGTACCCCACCTCCTTCATGAGCCCCACTGCCCTATGTACTCTTTGATGGGACCACTCAGTAGGTTCTCAGACATGACCAACAAAATGGTGATTTTATAGTATCTAACGTAGAGGAGCCTAATAAACTTTTAATTGCTACATTGAACTAATGCTAGTGATCATTCAGAAAGTTGTAAATCAATGGCAGACTGGAGCCCATGCCTGTGATCTAACGTCTTAGTCATAGCTCCTGTCACTAACAGATGGGTAGGTGGTTAAATCTTTGGGTCATGTTATCTGGTCCCAATATGTGGCTCTCCAACCTCCACTGAACAGCATTACTCCTATCCCTGCCCTTACCAGCTATGACTTTATAACCCTGCATCCCTAGGGTCTCCTCCTCAGTGATACCCTATCTGCCCTTGTAATCCAGCCTGCAGATCCAAACATGTGCCCCAGGATAGTCCTGTCCACTCTGAAGAGGACCAGAGAAACCCAACTAAAGACACCACAGAAGTGGAAGGATGATGTTAAGTAGAATGATCAAGGGCTTTTACTGAAGCCATCCAACCCCAGATCTATTAGAGGGCTAACAGGTAAATACCGTTAATTCCTATGGTGCTCTTGAGGTAGATGACTGGCAGTCTTCCAGCTCCATGCCTCTGTAGTTACTGTGCTCTGGGAATGGCCCCTCCTCTGCGCTGGGCAGCCAAAGCATGGCTCAAACAGTGTTTCCTCCAGAAAGTCTTCCCTGATTCTACTGCACTCTAAGTTATCCTCTCACCTCCAAACTCTAACAGCCCTTCCTGTGCTCAGAAAACCCTCTGGCCTAATACTTTCTATCTTGCTTCCAGTTGTAGTAGAGATGTCAGCTCTTTCCTCCCCCACTCCCATGATGCCTTAGAAAGGGGAGAAGAGATGGAGGCAGGTGGGATGGAGAGAAGGAATGCAAAAAGGAGGGAGGGAAAATGAATGAGAATGTGAATGCACCCAAAAGAGATGATGGGTTTTAGAACTAATTCTGTGTTCCTACCCTTTATTTCTCCAGGCTCCCTGATTCCTAACAGTATCTCCCCCGTTTATACTTGAGCTCATTTGAGTGGGTTTTATTCCTTATAGCAACAATTCCTGAACAAGATACCAGTTGCTTACATCTATGCCTTGTCACCTCTGAAATCTCCCTGAGAGCTAAAAATAGCACCTTGAATGTCACATTGTATCTTTGACTTTTTAAAAATTTACTTATTAACAGACATGTATAGAATATTCTATTCAACAATCATAGAGTATATTTTCTTCTTACCAGCACCATGAAACATTCTCCAAGATGGACCATACATGTCAGGCCACGTACCTTCTCAGACCACATTAGAATAAAACCAAAAATCAAGACCCAGAGGAAATCTCAAAATACATTAGAACAACATGTTCCCGAATGATTTTGGACAATGATGAAAGTAAGACTGAAATTTAAAACTTTTTTTGAAACAAATAATACCAAAACTTCTGGGATAAAGAAAAATCAGTGCTAAGAGAGAGGTTCATAACACTAAATGCCTATGTTAAAAAAAAAAAATCACAAATTCACAACCTAACCTTGCCTGTTTAGAAACTAGAAAAATAGGAAGACACTAAACCCAAAACTAAGCAGAAGGAAAGAAATAACAAAAATCAAAGCAGGCCTCAATTTCATTGAGACAAAAAAAAAAAAGTTGATTCTTTGAAAAGATAAAATTGATAAACCTTTAGCTAGACTAACAAAGAAAAGAAGATCCAGATAAACACAATCAGAAATGAAAAGGGAGACACATTATAACTGATACCACCAAAATACAACAGATCAACAGAAACCACATGCAGAAACCAGAAAACCTAGAGGAAATTCCTGGACACGAACAATCCCTCAAGATTGAACCAGGCGAAAACAGAAATCCTGAACAGACCAATAATTAGTTAAGACTGACTCAGTAAAAAAAAAAAATCTCCACCACAGATAATCTAGGACCAGACAGATTTAGTCAAATCCTACCAAACACACAAAGAAGAACTGGTGCCAATCCCCCTGAAATTATTCCAAAAATTTAAGGAGGAGGGAACTCTCTAATTTATTCTACAAAGTCAGTATCACCTTGATACTAAAGGCAGACAAGGACACCTACAAAAAAGAAAACTACAGACCAACATCCCTGATGAACATAAATAAAATACTCAACAAAATACTAGCAAAGTAAATGCAACTGTACATTAAAAAGATAACACTCAATGATCTAGTGGGTTTTATCCTAGGGATGTAAGGATGGTCCAGCAGATGCAAATCAGTGGATGTGATACAGCACACGTACAAAACCATATTTGTACTCCTTCATGCTGAATGTCCGAAAGAAACAAACACGTTGAATAAATAAAATTTTACTTATTTTCTGCCATAGAGAGCAGGGATTGTCTGTTTTGTTCATTGTGTCTAGCACTTAGAAGTGCCCGAGACATAGGGGGCCCTCCATAAATATTTACAGAAGGAAGGAAAGCAAGTAATTAATAGCTGGGAGAGTATCTTCTTCCTGGAAAAATGAAATCATAGAGGTCACAGTCAATGTTGAAAGGAAGGATTTGTCCTGGAACACACATGGTCCTTTTACCAACTCTCTGAAAATTAAAGGTCAGGATCAGCCCTTGAGACATGAGATGTTCTAAGACTAAAGAAAAGGAAGTTCTTTGTGTATTGAAGAGTCGATATCTGACTCTGAGAGGTGGAGTAAACTATACCACTAGGTTTACAAAGGCTTAATATGCATTTCTGGCAGACATTCATGAAAGGAAGTAGGAGCTCCCCCTTGAGGATGTGCGTACATCGTGCTCTTTAACCAGATGCCCCATGGGTCACAATCTTGGACTGATCCAGGCAGCAAATCCACTCAGATGTTGTGGCTGCATGGTTAGTATGTGTGGTTCAGGGCTCTCCATGGGGGGGGGGGGGACCCTGGGGTCTCTGGGTCTGTGCTGACTCTTCTGAAGCTTCATCCTAGGCTGAGTCACAGTGTACTGGAAGTAGCCCGCCTCAACATCACTGTCTGAACCAATGGTCAGGGGAACCAGAGAAGAGCTTCCTGCCCTGCTGAAATGCCTGGGCCGCCCTTTGAGAATCAAAGAATAAAACGAGCAACCACGAGGGGACAAGAAAAAGGAGCTCTTACAGAGCTGATGTGGTTTGTGGCAGCTTTGTTGATCTGGGATTGGGGGCTCTCATTAACTTCACTGCATTTCTGGAGAAGTTAGTCATGAGGGCTGGGTCAGAGGCAGCCCATGACCATGCGTTTTGCCAAGCCTTTTAGATCTGAGTGGACAGGGGTGGCTGCATGACTCATGACAATGAGGTCTGTGGACCAGAACTAGGCACAGCAGTTCTCCATCTGCTTGGAGATGCTACACAGTTCCTCACACAGCAAGAGTGTGTCCCTGGAATGATGGGCAAGACCCCAGAACCCAGGATGCTCTCTGTGCTGAATAGCTGCTGTTGTGGGCCTGGGGAGCAAGTCTGCCCAGCTTTTCTAAACTGTTCCATGAGGCTTTGATAGGTGCAGTGAGGACGGAGTTTTCAACGTGAAGTAAGTGTGGATCACACTGTAATGTTGAACTGATTACTACAAGATTTCTCAGAGTCTTAACATGCTAATGTGCCT